AGGCTATGTGGCACATACTCTTGTGAGTTATGAAGGCGGCGTAATGGCACTGACAGGGGGCCAGGCGGGCCACCAACAGACCAGGAATGGCACCAAGGTCTTCAGGATCGTGGTGCTGGGGGAGGGAGGTGTCGGCAAGTCTGGTAAGTCTGACGCACCACCACAACAATGGCACTAAGTCTATTATGGTAGTGCCAGGGGAGGGCGGGGCTACTTAAGTCTGACTCCACCTCACATCTCTAACTTATTCTTATTTAGTCACCTCTTAAAGCTTACACTGATGACTCTAATGTGTCGAGTGATGAATATTGTGTACAGTGATGACTAATGTGTGGAATGTTGACAGTAATGTGTACAGTGATGACTGTGTACTGTGATGACTGTGTACTGGGGATGACTGTGTACAGTGATGACTGTGTACAGTGATGACTGTGTACAGTGATGACTGTGTACAGTGATGACTGTGTACAGTGATGACTGTGTACTGTGATGACTGTGTACTGGATGACTGTACAGTGATGACTGGTACAGTGATGACTGTGACAGTGATGACTGTGTACTGGTGTGAACTGTGTACTGTGAGACTGTGTACTGTATGTACTGTGGTACAGGGATGACTGTACTGTGATGACTTTGTACCATAGTGACTGAGTGTACTGTGATGACTGTGTACGTGATGACTGTGTACTGTGATGAACTGTTGTACAGTGATGACTGTGTACTGTGATGACTGTGTACTGTGATGACTGTGTACTGTGATGACTGTGTACAGTGATGACTGTGTACTGTGATGACTGTGTACTGTGATGACTGTGTACTGTGATGACTGTGTACTGATGACTGTGTACAGTGATGACTGTTTTACTGTGATGACTGTGTACAGTGATGACTGTGTACTGTGATGACTGTGTACTGTGATGACTGTGTACTGTGATGACTGTGTACAGTGATGACTGTGTACTGTGATGACTGTACAGTGATGACTGTGTACAGTGATGACTGTGTACTGTGATGACTGTACTGTGATGACTGTGTACTGTGATGACTGTGTACAGTGATGACTGTGTACTGTGATTGTGTACAGTGATGACTGTGTACTGTGATGACTGTGTACTGTGATGACTGTGTACTGTGATGACTGTGTACTGTGATGACTGTGTACAGTGATGACTGTGTACTGTGATGACTGTGTACTGTGATGGCTGTGTACTGTGATGACTGTGTACTGTGATGACTGTACAGTGATGACTGTGTACTGTGATGACTGTACTGTGATGACTGTGTACTGTGATGACTGTGTACTGTGATGACTGTGTACTGTGATGACTGTGTACAGTGATGACTGTGTACTGTGATGACTGTGTACTGTGATGACTGTGTACAGTGATGACTGTGTAAAGTGATGACTATGCACAGTGAAGACCAATATGTACTGTGATGACCTGGGTACATTGATGACTGTAATATGTAGACTGACTAATGTGTACAATAATGACTGTAATGTGTAGACTTGATAACTGTTTTGTAGTGATGACTAATGTGTACTGTGATGGCTGTAATTCATAGTGATGACTGTAATTTATGTTGATACTGTAATTCGTACAGTGATGACTAATGTGTAGAATTACTTAATGTCAAAACTGGGTAGTAAGTCACATAAATTTTGACTGTGACCTTGAGAAACACACTGGAGTCATCACCATTGACCCCTCTAAAGGTGGGCCTCCCAGGTCTTCACCTACACTGTCATTCCAAGGAACCCTGGAGTCATTCCCAGTTGGTGATCCAGAAAAGCAGGTGGGTCCTGGAGAAACACGACACAAAACACACAGGATCATTATTCATGACCCAAAAATGGTGAGGCATCCACCAACACTGTACCACTACCTTTGGTTCAAGAGTCCATACACCAACATCACACAGGTAAAGCCTCACTGCCCACACTATATGTTAGCATACCATACCTAGGCATATACTGACATACTGACATGACTACCACACACACATACACACACACGCGTGCGAAAACGGCAAATGTAGTAACCATATTTGAAAAAGGAGACAGAAAAGAGACACTAAACTATAGACCAGTGTTACTGACGTGTATAGTTTGCAAAGTCATGTAGAAGATTATCAGGAGAGTGGTGGAGCACCTGGAATGGAACAAGAGTATAAATGCCAACCAGCATGGATTTATGGAAGGCAAATCCTTGTCACAAACCTACTGGAGTTTTATGATAAGGTAACAGAAGTAAGACATGAGAGAGAGGGATAGGTTGATTGCATCTTCTTGGACTGCAAGAAGGCCTTCGACACAGGAGATTGGTGCAGAAGCTAGAGGACCAGGCACATGTAACAGGAAGGGCGCTGCAATGGATCAGAGAATACCTGACGGGGCGGCAACAACGAGTCATGGTACGTGATGAGGTATCACAGTGGGCACCTGTGACGAGCGGGGTCCCACAGGGGCTGGTCTTAGGACCAGTGCTATTTCTGGTATATGTGAATGACATGATGGAAGGGATAGACTCAGAAGTGTCCCTGTTTGCAGATGATGTGAAGTTAATGAGGAGAATTAAATCGGATGAGGATCAGGTGGGACTTCAAAGAGACCTGGACAGGCTGGCCACCTGGTCCAGCAACTGGCTTCTCGAATTTAACCCCGCCAAATGCAGTCATGAAGATCGGGGAAGGGCAAAGAAGACCACAGACGGAATATAGGCTAGGTGGCCAAAGACTGTAAACCTCGCTCAAGGAGAAAGATCATGGGGTGAGTATAACACCAAGCACGTCTCCGGAAGCACACATCAACCAGATAACTGCTGCAGCATATGGGCACCTGGCAAACCTGAGAATAGCGTTCCGATACCTTAGTAAGGAATCGTTCAAGACACTGTACACCATGTACGTCAGGTCCATACTGGAGTATGCAGCACCTGTTTGGAACTCACACTTGATCAAGCACGTCAAGAAATTAGAGAAAGTGCAAAGGTTTGCGACAAGGTTAGTTCCAGAGCTAAGGGGAATGTCCTACGAAGAAAGGTTAAGGGAAATCGGCCTGACGACACTGGAGGACAGGAGGGTTAGGGGAGACATGATAACAGCATACAAAATACTGCATGGAATAGACAAAGTGGACAGAGACAGGATGTTCCGGAGAGGGGACACAGAAACAAGGGGTTACAGCTGGAAGTTGAAGACCCAGATGAGTCAAAGGGATGTTAGGAAGTATTTCTTCAGTCATAGAGTAGTCAGTAAGTGGAATAGCCAAGCAAGTGAGGTAGTGGAGGCAGGAACCTTACATAGCTTTAAGATGAGGTATGATAAAGCTCATGGAGCAGGGAGAGGACCTAGTAGCACTCAGTGAAGAGGTGGGGCCAGGAGATGAGTCTCGACCCCTACAACCACAATTAGGTGAGTACAGTTAGGTGAGTACACACACACACACACACACACACACACACACACACACACACACACACACACACACCAGGCAGAACTACAAAGGGATCTGGACAGGCTGCAGACCTGGTCCAGCAATTGGCTCCTGGAGTTCAATCCCACCAAGTGCAAAGTCATGAAGATTGGGGAAGGGCAAAGAAGGCCGCAGACAGAGTACAGTCTAGGGGGTCAGAGACTACAAACCTCACTCAAGGAAAAAGATCTTGGGGTGAGTATAACACCAGGCACATCTCCTGAAGCGCACATCAACCAAATAACTGCTGCAGCATATGGGCGCCTAGCAAACCTCAGAACAGCATTCCGACATCTTAATAAGGAATCGTTCAGGACCCTGTACACCGTATACGTTAGGCCCATATTGGAGTATGCGGCACCAGTTTGGAACCCACACCTAGCCAAGCACGTAAAGAAACTAGAGAAAGTGCAAAGGTTTGCAACAAGACTAGTCCCAGAGCTAAGAGGTATGTCCTACGAGAGAGGTTAAGGGAAATCAACCTGACGACACGGAGGACAGGAGAGATAGGGGGGACATGATAACGACATACAAAATACTGAGAGGAATTGACAAGGTGGACAAAGACAGGATGTTCCAGAGATTGGACACAGTAACAAGGGGACACAGTTGGAAGCTGAAGACACAGATGAATCACAGGATGTTAGGAAGTATTTCTTCAGCCACAGAGTAGTCAGTAAGTGGAATAGTTTGGGAAGCGATGTAGTGGAGGCAGGATCCATACATAGCTTTAAGCAGAGGTATGATAAAGCTCACGGCTCAGGGAGAGTGACCTAGTAGCGATCAGTGAAGAGGCGGGGCCAGGAGCTCGGACTCGACCCCCGCAACCTCAACTAGGTGAGTACAACTAGGTGAGTACACTCACACACCCTCACACACCCTCACACACCCTCACACACCCTCACACACACACTCTCACACACTCTCACACACTCACACTCACACACACACACTCACACACACTCACACTCACACTCTCACACTCTCCTCCACACTCTCTCTCACACTCTCTCACACTCTCACTCTCTCTCACTCTCACTCTCCTCATCACTCTCACTCACTCACTCACTCTCACACACACACACACACACCTATTTCCAAAATAAGGGGGGGCCCAAAAAAAAAAAATCCCTACCACTAACAAATCAAACAAACACAAAAAAACCAAACAAAACAAACAATGTTTCCCGGAGGGGACAAGAAAAAGAAAAGGAAATTGGGTTTAAGACACTGATCAGGAGGGTTAGGAAAATTTCCATATAAAATTTTGAAGGCAGTGGAAAGCCAGGAAAAAGTAGGGAGGCAGGGAACCCAAACACATTTTTAAGACGAGGTTGATAAAGTCATGGAGCGGGGAGAAGAGGGGGAGTACAAAACCGTAAGAGGGGGGCCAGGAGCAGGAGACCCCTGCAACCCCAAAAAGGGGGAGTACACTTTTCCCCCTCCTTCCCCTGTCCCCTCTTCCCCCCTCTCTTCTCTCCTCTCTCTCTCAAATTTCTAAATCTTTCTCTTCCTTTTTTTTTCTCCTTCTCTCTTTTTCCCCCTAATTTCTAATTTTCATCATTATTACCCTCCCTTCGCCCCCCCCCCCTTCCCTTTCGGGTTTTTTCCCCCCCTTACCTTCCCCCTTTTCTCTTCCTTTCCCCCTTCAAAACTTGGGGGGTTCCC